ACTGTCCTTTAATTGGAAAAAACTCCTTGTACCCTCGCGGGGCGGAAAAAGGAGGTGTGACAGGTTGGATGTTCGGATATAGGGCTGATGCCTTTCTCGATTGAAACGTGGTAGTTGATCCCTTCGTCCGTCGTTACGTCGATCTCTCCTTGTCTCGGTCTGGACTGATGTTAATCGCTGAAGCGGACCGTTCAGGTCATCCTCGTCTGCCCTCACCTCGACGCAATAGGCGTTGTGGATCTCTTCCCATGTGGTAGGGGCTACTTCATGAGTCTATTGAGTAGTTTTTTGGTTGCTTTTGATCCATTCCTGTTTAACCCATTTTGAAAGGCTGCTACTGCCATCCCTTCTGACACGTTCGGTAAACTCATCCTTACTCTATTGAATCGGGCTAGGAACCCTCGCCTGTCATTTGCCTGACGACAAAGATATCATTAACCCTAGCCTCGGCCTTCTTCGCTCCCACGTGAGCGGTGGCGAATTTATCCGCCATCTCTTCGAACGTCGATATCGATCGTGATGGTAGTTGGAAGTACCATGTCAATGCTCCCCCCGTCAAAGCCTCACCGAACTTTTTTAGCAGCACAGCGGTACCTATTCTTTTGATAGATCATTGCCCTTTACTGCGGTAACATAATGATTAAGTGATCCTCTGGGTCCGTGGTCCCGTCGTATATTTTCAAGTATGGCGGCATTTTGAAGGTCTTTGGAATAGAATGGGGAGCTGCTCCTTCACTGTATGGTTGTTCGACGAATCGGCTCACATCGCGTTTTGGTAATAACTTCGGAGCGCCTGGTATTTTGTCAACCCTCTCCTGATGTTCCTTCATCTGGTCGCGAAGTGTTTTGTTCTCATTTTCCATCTCTTCCATTTTCTTTAAGATGTTCATAAGTGCATCGTCACCTGCATTAGTAGCAGTGCGGGTGTTACCTATTCGTGTAGCGCTTGGCTCATCGACGGCAGCTGCGATTTCTGTAGGTGGCACGTCTTCGACGCCTCCTGGAGCGGGCATGTTGCTCAAGGCACTTGTTACCATTCTTCCAGTAGCCTTTTGATTGCTGGTGGTGCTTCTCTTGCCGCGGATATTGAGGCTCCCTTTTCGCGCAAGATCGTTAGATTCCCGTGTGGAAGAGGTGAGATCTCCCCCTCCGGTGTAGCACTTGGTGTTGCATTCTCATTGTCTTCTCCACTGGCTTCGTTGAGGGAATTCAGGAGATTATTCGAGACATCTGCTACTGCTTTTAGCCTCGCTTCCCCCTTTCCCGCCATCGTTGGTTTTTACGAAGTTTGAAGAAAAGTGATTATCACTTTCAAAAATCTAGATGAAAACTACGATTTCAGCTGTAGAAATCCCCACAGACGGCGCCAAATTGTTTGACTCAAAAGATACTAAAACCTTTTTGGACAAATCAATCAAAGATGAAGGGGTAAATCTTAGCTGAATATAATAATCTCTAGAAACAATGATAGATAAAAAGGTCGATAATTTTCTTCGTATTCCAGAAATCAAAAAATCTCCCCCCTCTTACAAGGTTATTGTCCCCCTTTTATACTAAAAGAGAAACTCTTCTAAATTGTGAAAGACCAAATACAAGGAATATTCGACGGAATATTCCTAATGTTCCTAATGGGCTTACACTGTTACAGAGGTCGCACAATCTCTTCTTCTGCCTTGAGGTCGTCTCCCTTGGGACTTTGACTCGAAGAAACCCGGTCGTTTGTCGTACTCGTTGTTGGTCGTGATCGGTCAAATTTGGACCCATACAAAAAAAGCCATTCTTATTTGGTGATGAAAAATAAATAAATAACAAGAAAAACACTCACCACTTACGTCACAACGAGAAATCTGTAATTACCTGCGGTTTTAAATGCCATTTTCCGGCGGTTTTGAACAAGCGCAGGAATGACCGCCGCTAAGACAAATTAATTGTGGCGGTTCCGGTGGCAGTTTGTGTTGTGCCGATTTTGTATAACTAGAGGCGGTTTCTACCCGTCACTAAAATATTACTCCAAAAGATTAAAATTATTGTCATAGTTTTATTTTAATGGCGGTCGAAAAATGTTACAGGTGACCTGCTGAAATTTCAAAATATAAAAATTAAATTAGGTCGCTCGTTGTACCAGCGACCTGCTGGGAAAAAAATTAATGCAGCCCGCTTGCTGTGACGATTTTGTTCAACGATGTTACCGTCACCAAAATATCACTCCAAAAGATTAAAATTATTGACATAATTTTATTTTAGTGGTGTCCAAAAATGTTTTAGAGGTGAACTGCTGAAATTTCAAAAAAAAATAAAATAAAAAAATTAGGTCGCTCGTTGTACCGGCGATCTGCTGGAAAATTTTTAATGTACACAGTATTCTGGAGCTTCAAAATAATGGTTCTAAAATGTTCTTCTCTACACGCTTCTTCCTTCCACGTCTAATCTCAAAAAAACAACCAATAACCACATTAGCATGGAGTTGATTTTTCAAGTCTGGTTTGAGTCACTGAACTTCGGACAAAGCCACGAAGAGCCAATTCCGAGAAGTATATAACCGAAGGATTCGGTTAAAATCAAATTTAAATTAAATCAGATAATTATCCCATTAAATTTCAATGCTTTAGCTTGTAAGAGTGTCAATTATCAAACACAGAGACTAGCAGGAATTGATTCCTTATTCTCCGCGTATTTGATTGACCTCCCACCCAGGGATGACACAGGCAGGAAATAAGAGTTAGGCACACTGTGACACTGCAGAGGCAACATTCATGGTATGGTTTAAAAAAGAAAGATCCATTTTTATTTGAAGCAAATATGTACAATATTCCTAAAAGGTAGAATATATTTTTTTGCTCAAAGTGTTATTTATGGAACTCTCTCTGCAAAAAGTTGGGGAAAACGTCGCCACCATCTTCGACTCTCCATATGAAAATCTCGGGTCAAAGCTGGCGGATGTAACAACATCTACTTGAATCCAGAAATGCATAAATAGCTCACTGCAATTTTGGATTCAGATCCACTCCCACAGATCTCAACGTCTCAGAGTGAGGCTCCCTGCAATAATAACACCAATAAAATCAGAAATTAAAGCACATTTCACGCTGTGTAACCCAATTGCAAGAATATAGAAAAATATAGCAAAGTAATTGCTATAAGACTATTGAAGTACCTAGCTAGAACATCCCCGCGCATAGGATCAGGCATGACAGATTGATTATCAAAATCCTGAACATGAGCCACCTTTCTGAAAAAAGATTTTTTAATGAAACTGTCGGAATCATTCAACACATTGTCCGGTTCTGCCACTTCTGGTACAGTTTCCCTCCTTGATTTCTTCACAGATACGTTAGGCGAACGCTTCAGCTGATGCGTGGCTGTGTGTACCCCAAAACCCACGGACATTGCTATTAGTCCCAGCGCTACATACACGGGAAAGAACTCTCCTTTCAGTCCCCTGTTTCAATTAATCAAACATCAAGTTATTATATATTGCACTTACTTATAACAACAAAGGTGCTAATTACTTACAAATATTCACCTTGGCTTAGTGTCTGGATGCTCAGCAGTAGCGGCATATGACCTCAATTTGGTAATATTAGATTTTGCAAATGTAGGATTTCCGCTAATACGCGTAGCCATAGATTTCCACAAACTCTGCAAGGTTGAATAAAGATCGATCGACAAGAAATCATGTCTATGTATACACATAACTACGAACAATTTAATTTAACTCAGAGTGTGGACTTACCGAAGACCTGAATGCCATGATATGCAAGATAGCGAAAACAAATCAAAAGCTATAGAAAGAGCAGTGAGGGGGCGTTTAATTTACTGTTAAGAGTCTGGTTCAACTTAGTGATGCTCTGTGTGCAGTAAATGATGATTATATACATCGATATTTTTTTTTTTGCTAAGATATATACATCGATATAAGGGATACAAACGGATAGGCATGCAAAATAAAGGACACTCGTCAAGAGCTAACAAGTCCACTTTGCACTAGCGGTGACTCATGGAAATTATATTGTTTGGCTGACAAGCCACTTTACATCCGCATATTTATATTGTTCCAAGTGTTTTAACCGACTCTGAAAGAGAGAAAAAAAAAATTGTGGCGAATTTGTTCAAGGTGTTAAGTGTTAACTATCTAGTGTAGTTAGGTACTTTTTTTTAATTAAATGTATACATATAATATATTTTTTTTATATTTTAACTCCATTGATCGAAAAAATCATGTATAGGAGCATTCACTGTTCAAAAGAGAACACAAAGATCTATAGATCCAAAGTTAGCCAGCTTGAATGCAACAAAGATCCCAGCTTACATCTAATTAATTTAGAAAAGAAGGTACACAAAAGTATGTGTATGCAAGGAAGCAAGAACTTTTTATTTTTAAAGGAAAAGGACTTTTTAACTTCTTAAAATAAATAGGGTCCATCAATTTTTCGCCGTGATGCCGTGAGAAATCTCAGTGTATCCATTTTTAACCTTCTTTTTAGAAGGTATAGGCACTCCTTTTATCTTGCTCTACTTGCTTTCAACGAACGGACATATATCAAAGCTTAACGCCTTAAACCCGACAAACTTAGTAAGATACAAATTAGAAAGAAAGTAAGAAGAAGATAGTTTGTCCCTTTACATTTTATATAATATATAGTAGAAGTAGCTAGGTGACCAATATATAATTTTGCAACGTGTTTAATATATAGCAGAGTCGACAGTCGTCCATTGAGAAAGGCAAAAAAAGATCACATGGCATTGGAAAGTAGCCAAATTGCATGAGTCATAATTGCTAGAGTATTCACAAAGCTGTACGTACTACATATTTATAGTGTTCTCGTTCATAAACATGCACAATATCAAGCGTATTAGAGTAACACCATCATGTAAACTTAAAACATCTACTTATCTACTATATGAGTTTTACTCTATATATCTTCATATAGTATTACAGAATTAGAGATTAAACTCTAGAATACAACCAAAGTACTCCACAAAACCTACATATAATTTACAACTTAATTTGGATCCACTCCAACAGTTTTCAAGGTCACTACACCCGGCTTCCTGCAATAATAAAATTGCTAGATAAGTACCAATACTATCCCATATTTGTGCTAAACGAAAAGAGAAATTAATTGAAAAACAAGTAGAAGAAATTAAATAGTACTAATATTAGTTTTGCTACTAACTTGGTATAAACGTAGCCACGAGCTGGATCAGGAATGACACGGCTAGTAGAAAAATCCTGAATGTGAGCCACCTTACGGAATAAAGATTTGCTAATGAATTTATCGGCATCTTCTGCAACATGTTCTGGCTCCACTATCTCAGGCAGAGTTTCCCTCCTTGATTTTTTTACATGCACATTAGGGGCTCGCCTCAGCTGATGCATCGCTGTGTGCAGCCCGAAACTCGCCGATAGTCCGATCATTCCTAGCGCCACACACACTGGCACAAAGTCTCCCTTTCTTGACCTGTAACATTCAGAGGCTAATTTAGGACGATTCTGTATATTAAATTGAATCCATTTCTGGAGTATGCATACGTCTTCAAAAATTAAAACGCAAACATATAACAAGACTGCTCTTACTTTTTTTTATTCCACTTGATACTATATTCTGAATTAGGCCATCATCGGCATACAACAGCAACAAAGCCAGTAGCCAGTGATCGTAGCCACATACATTTAAGGGTGATCGACCGAACACTCCATTTATCGAAAAATTATAAAATATATATAAAAACTTATATTATGTATGCAGGTCAAAAATAATTTTTTTATATGTGTATATTAAATTTTAAACACTTTTTGCGAAATTCCTGACTTCACCGTTGCCAGTGGTATACATAAACCGTAAAATCCTTTATCAAGCTACGTAAAAGGAGTAGATTATGGAGGACAATAATCTTACTTGGGCACATGAGTCGCGTTAAGTTGGACGGGTGAAGATGCCTTAAATTTTGAAGTGGCTGCTGTGGCATAATTTACTGAGGAACTTCCCTTTAAGTGAGTAACCATGGAATTTAGATAAGTCTGCAACATCGAAAATCAATACCCTTCTATCTTAGTTTAATTAGCACCAAGATAAATAATGAGCGAAAGAGCAACTTTTATCACACCAAGTTATATAATAATAGAAGTAATTGGAACTTACCGCTGATCTAAAAGCCATAGGAGTAAACAATTGCTGCAGATCAAACTAAGTTAAGATTTTGATTAATTATGGTTCTAAGCTTGGCGTATCTGCTCAAAATCGAATTGCTTGCCGATGATCACCTTTGCACTAGTGATCCATTTAATAATAGGACAGAGGGTTCGGGAGACACCTAGGACATAATAGGACAAGGCCCCTATGATTTTACCAAATGGGAGTTTGACACATGCCTAATAGAAATGAGTCCACGTCACTGCGATGAACATGGAAGTCTCCTGAAGCCACCAAAGTGATGTTTATCTGATATTGATTATTTAATTAAATTAAGCATAGAATCCAGAACTGAAAATACTGGCCCTATTGAAATCACGGGCTTGAATAGCAGGGTACAACAAATGCCAAGTATGGGCTATATAATGGGTTGATCCAATGGTCCGCAACGAAAATCACTCTAATGGCAAAGGTATACACCCTATTTATTATAAATTAAAATTATTTTAAAATATTATTTTTTATAGTTACTTTTTATATTTTATAGAAAAATAAATATTTATGGTATATGCTACCATTGAAGCATGAAATACACTATTTATGTTTTTTCTCTCTCTTAGAAAGCTGAACATATCTATTTTTAAGGTGATTGATGTTACTGTATTTATGAATACATGTCGCGAATATATGTTAATACATGCGCATACATTTGGACTGCCCTGATTTTAAGCACTTTTTATTGCTGTATTCATAAATAAACCAGTGCGAATATGTCACGACTCAAATTACCCCTAGACGTGATTGACACCCAACTAACACTACCTGCCAGGCGAACCCCTTTTTCTAACGTTTAACCATTTACACAAACATTGAGAGAAAAACTGCAGGCCTAAAGTATTATTAATAATTAAAGAGGTAATAATTATCGCCCAATATCTTAGTCAATTGGTAGAAAAACCAACAATCACTCAAATAATAAAACTCTAGCCCAAATCACACACTAAGACCATGGAGCATNAATGCTGTGGCTCACCTAAAAAATAGGACCCACTCGAACAAACTCGTCAGCCACTAGCTCTATCTCCTGCAACGGTATCTATATAGAGATGCAGGTAAGGAGTGAGTTATACGTAAATATAACTCAGTACGATCCTCGACCCGCCACTTTAAAACCTCTAGAACAAGTGTTAGAAAATACAAGCACACTACAATACGAATGATATAGTAAATATGATAATTATACAATAAGTCAATATATGTGTATCAACAGAGTTATTAAGAATTAACTAACAAGGATACACACTAAGGACTTATCATAATTGTAGTGAAAGAAATTAACCAACACACCACGAGTCCATAACGGCACCACAATGTCTCAAATATGTAACAGAGCATACGCAATGCTCGGGTGATGTACAAAGGCATACACAATGCCCCAATATCATGGTGCACAGCCGTATCAAACTCAACATCATGGCGCACAGACGTATCAAACTCAACATCATGGCGCACAACCGTATCAAACTCAACATCATGGCACACAGCCGTATCAAACTCAACATCATGGCGCACAACCGTATCAAACTAAATATCATGGCGCACAACCGTATCAGACTCAACACCATGGTGCACAACCGAATCAAACTATAAAACTCAACCTCATGACGCACAACCGTATCACACTATCAAACAACTTATAAAATAATGTATTTTTTTATAAAATAATATATTTGCGGCTAGTCTAAGACCACCGACTCTGTCAAGCGCATGCTTGTCCCAACACATGGACCAGACAGAGAAAATATACTTTCAAAATGGGTTTTAGAAAAGTAAGTATCAAAGCTTAAAGTCTCACTTATCTCGAATTTCACAATCCAAGTACTCTTTCCGATAACTTAGAACTATACTCTCAAGAATCTGGATCACCTCAAACTTAGCAAAGGAAATTTCCTTTCTTTGTTGGATAAAGAGAGGAAGCAACAAGCAATTTGCTTCTCGATAAACTCTTATTAGTGTTGTCAATGGAAAAATAATTCCAAGCATATACATCTCTTAATGTACCGCCGCCAATTTCGATCCCCAAACCTCTATTTTTTTTCTTTTTTGGTTTCCTCCTTTAATGAATAAAAACCCTAAGTACCTATTTTCTATTTTACACGTGAGATTCACAAGGTGGGGCTAGGCACATTAGTTTTTTTTGTTTATTTATTTATTTATTCATTAGACATCCAACAAAGTGAATTAATTTATCAACAATCATATGTGATACTAGTAAATTTGGTCTACTGGCACATTATTAGTATACTATTTTATATAAATATATAATAACTTTCACTTACTAGCTTAGTATTTGATCCAATAGCTATATATAATAATTGATTCTCTAATCCAATAATTAATAAGTATATTAAGTTATTTTGGGTTATTACATTCTCCCCCACTAAAAAGAACATTTGTCCTCGAATGTGTCACGACCCCAGTTCACCCTCCGTGAACATGCCATGAAGGCACCTAGTCTCTACGACTAGGTAAGCCTAACAATGTGAAAAATAAAATAACTAGCGAAATAAATAATCAAAACTGAACAACTGGAAGAAAACTGTATATAAAAATGTCGCTCGGCATATACAACTCAACATCACAGAATCCTAAAATACTATCCCAAAACCCAGAAACTCACGGGAACACAAGCTGAAAGAAACATAGTACAATGATCTAACTCCAGAATGTCTACAACAACAGTAAGAAAGAAGGCTAAATACTAAAAGATGGAATAAGATAGAGACTCCTTGGTCTGCAGACGCGATAGATGTATCTCGAAGTCTCTGATAGATCTCCCCGCCTCAAGGGTGATACGCCTGGGTAGAGGTACCTAGATCTGCACATGAAAAACATGCGCAGAAAGGGCATGAGTACACCACCGCGGTACTCAGTAAGTGCCAAGCCTAACCTCGGTCGGGTAGTGACGAGGAAAGTCAGGGCCCTACTTAAGTTAAACATAATATAAAGTTTTAACAGTATGAAATAAACAATATAAATAAGTATAGCAGTGAAATAAGACAGGTTATACAAGGCAACAACAAATATACAAAGAACAGGGTAACACGGAATAAGAACAACTCAATACCAATAGCAACAATGAGGATCTCCCAGGATACTATCTTGTAGTCCCTTTTATCAACTGTCCAGTGGATCTCCCGGGATACCGTCCCATAGTCCAATCATCAATGCGCGGAGATCTACAGGAACCCCTGTCCGTAGTCCCAAATGTAAATACCCAGTACTGGGGGAATCTACCGGGTGCATTCCCGTAGTTCCNGATATTTCAGAAATGAAATTTCATATCAAGGAAAAACAAGTAATTCTAGCCTAACATGCTTCACGTAATGCACTTAAGGCAATTTAAGTCAACTAAACATGCTTTTCTAACTAACAACATGCTAAATTTGCAAGTATAATAAAACAGGAAAGGGAACATGTTAATAAGTACTTTAAGAAAATCGGATTTCCATCAATTTGCACAAGAACGCGCTCGTCACCTCATGCACAAGGCAATTAAATCACCAAATTTGCAAACCCTAAAGGGAAGGTCCCCCACACAAGGTTAGACAAGCCACTTACCTCGAACCGGCTCAAAATCAACTAGAAATCACGCTTTTGCCATGAGTATCCGACTCCAAATGACCCAAATCTATTCAATTCCATTTCATAATATAAATAATACTTCAAGAAGCTGATTCTACAATAAAATTCTAAGCTAATACGCGAAATTATATAAAATGACCAAAATGCCCCTCAGGCCCACGTCTTGGAATCGAGTAAAATTTATATTTCAGAAACCTCGTATTGTAACGAGTTCAACCATACTAAAATTATCCAAATCCGATGCCAATTGCCCAACCAAAACTCAATAATTCGGCCTACGAAGTTTTACCCAATTTTCATTCAAAATCCGAAATTAGAGGAGGAATTCATGCTTAGATTAGTGGGTTACAAGCAAAAAGGAGTTTAGAATCGTTACCCAATCGATATCTCTAAAAATTCTTCAAAATCTCGCTCAAATCTGAGCTCCCAAGCTTAAGTTTTGATAAAAAAGGCTAAACCCTCCATTTTTAAAATCTTATATCTGCCCAAGCGCGTTCTTCTTCGCGAACGTGAGGCTACTATCGCGAACGCGATGCACAAAAGTCCTGCTGGCAAAATTCCTCTTTCACGAACGCGAGGCCTCGCGAACGCGTAGCTTACACGAGCAGACCTTTCCCGAACGCGTGGACAAAAACGCGATCACGATGACCAATGAGCCCTTACCTTCGCGAACACATAGCTTACACGAGCAGACCTTACCCGAATGCGTGGACCATAACGCGATCACGATGACCAATGAGCCCTTACCTTCGCGAACGTGGGACATCATCGCGAACACGAAACACATAATAGCTGCTCTACTTTACAAACCTTCGTGAACGCGGGATAGACTTCGCGAATGCGAAGCACAATCCTCCCCCAACCCCAGTTCCCCTATGCGAATACGAGACCCCACTCGCGAATGCGAAGAAGGAAACCAGAACTGGGCTGCTACAATATTTTCTGTAATTCTCTAAGTTCTAAAAATGACCTGTTGAGCATCTGAAACATACCCGAGGCCCCCGGGACCTCAACCAAAAGCACCAACATAACCTAAAACATCATTCAAACTTGTTCCAACCTTCGGTACGCTACAAACAACACCCAAACACCCATTTTTCATCGAATCCAAGCCTAACATTTTAAAAACTCTATAAAATACACTTTCGATCAAAAGGTCTATCAAATCTCGTCCGAATGACCTGAAATTTTGCATGCACATCCAAAATGACATGACAAAGCTACTAAAACTCTCAGAATTTCATTCCGACCCTCAGATCAAAATCTCACTACCGAACCGGAAACTTCCAAAATTTAAATCTTCGGCATTTCAAGCCTAAATTAGCTACGGACCTCCAAAACACTTTCCGGACACGCTCCTAACCCCAAAATCACCTAACGGAGCTAATGGAACCATTAGATTTTCATTTCGAGTCCACCTTCACACTGTTCTGACTACGGCCAACTTTCCAACACTTAAGCTCTCATTTAGGGACTAAGTGTCCCA